ACTGGTAGTCCTCATAATTGAGCCCAAATTTTCTGTTGGTAAGTGAGACAGTTAAGTGAGTTTTGCCCCATTTTATGGCCTTCCTTGCCGCAGTTGTTAAACACTGAATCACTGCAGTTCTAAGTTAGTAACACAGTTGTTAAGTGAATCTGTTTCCCCATTGACTTTGCTTATCAAAAGGTACAAAATGACCCTGGACCATTGCAACCATTATAAATCTTTTTTTTTTTGAAAAAAGTTTTTTATTTTTATTTTTCATCAACATGTTTAAATGTACAGTCTTTTATCCATCCTTATACATTGTTCGTTCATCTTCTTCTTTAACTTCCATTAGATAATTCATTAATTATTTGTTCGGGTCTGCTCTTTTAATTTCCTTCTTTCATTTCCTTCTTTTGTTTTACTACAACCTTTCCTTTTTCCCTTCCCTTCTCTCTCCTCCTTTCTTTCTTCTTTCCTCATTCCTCCTCTCCTCTCCTTTCCTACTTCCTTTCCTCTTTCCCCTCTCCTCTCTTCTTCCTCCCCTTCTTACCCTCTCTCCTGTTCTTTCCCCTTCCTTCTTCCTCTCCTTTTCCCATTCTTCTTTTCTCTTCTTCTCACCTCCAAACTCCCCTACTTTCTCCTCTCTATTCCTCCCCTCTTTTCTATTCCTTTGTTGTTTCCTTTTTTAATTCAATCTGAGATGGTATTCGAGCAGACCCGATTTCTATTTACATACGTCTTCATTTCCAATTTCATTTTTTACTTTACTATTATTCCTCTAGTATTCCTGTACATTTTTTAATCAATCCATGTATCATCTGGGTATAACATTTGTGCTATCATCTTCAAAGTTTACCATTATTTCTTAAAATATATATTTATCTTTCCTTCTTTCATTTAATTTTAATATACTACAACATATTCATCTCAAAGTTCTTGCCTTTATCCTGTTTATTATCTATACTCACTTTCTATCCATTGATAAAATTTCCCCCAAATGTTGTAATACTCTGATTCTGTTTTCCCTTTAATTGCCAATGTCAACCTATTCATTTCTGCACATTCCAATATTTTCTTAATTACCTCTTCCCTTGTAGGGATTTTTTTCTATTTTCCACTTTTGTGCAAATATTATTCTTGCCGCCGTTATGATATGTATTATTAAATTGGCAACCATTATAAATCTGAGCCAGTTGCCAAGCATCTGAATTTTGATCATGTGACCACAAGGATGCTGCAATGGTAGTGAGAAAAATGGTCATAAGTCACTTTTTTCAATGCTGTTGTAACTTTGAATGGTCACTAAAAGAAAGATTGTAAGGTGAGAATTACCTGTATCCATGTGCATTTACATGCTTTTTAGGAGTGGGGGGATGTTCAGTTCACAAGTGAATATAGAATTATATAGAATTTTCTGTCTGTTTATAATTTTTTTACCCATTCCTTTCAGAGATCTTAAAATTAGGCTTCACTTCTCTTTTGTATGACATGCTATGAACTACTTAATGGATTACTTACTAATTAATTACTTTCTAATGTAGACTTCTGTGTTGGTGAAAATGGCTCTTTGGGAACTCATCCAATTCTGTAGTTGCTAATTCCATTATTTCTGTGTTTCTTGCTCCTTTCTGATGATGACTCTTTGATGAGGGACATGCTCTGAACCCTTTATCTTAAAAATACATCCAGTGGATAATTAAGCAACTCATTGGAAAAATATCAAATCCCTTCTAAAGGAATTGAACAATGCAACTGACAGCACACTGAATATCTTGTCTTGACAGCTAACCAGGGTGAGAAAGGGTTTGTCAGATTATTAATGAACTGGCAGAGACATGGTAACAAGGTCAGCCAATGAATAGGCATAGCAACTAAGTCAGCCAATGGGAGCTGAAACAGTTTGGAGGCTGGGCGTGGCTCAGCTCTGTTCTGTGCTGAGAAACGAAACTGAAACCAGTGTGTGAACTTGTCTGCTTATCTAAGCTGAAATGAAACTTGTTCTCTGCTGTTGGTATTGTATATATATTATTGTATATAAAGAAGTTCCTTATTTAAATCAATCCTGCTGAATCAGTTTACCTGTATGTGCTTTCTGGATTTAATTTCTGCAACAAATTCTGACAGGGTTAACGTTTAGATGGGAGAGTACCAAGGATTACCAGCCCTTCAGATAACATTAGGAGGTGAAAAAAACTTTCCAGAAGAAAGCAGTGGTAAATGTTACCTTTGTTATATGGATGTGGATATGAAGTCACCAAGCATCAAACTGAATCAGCCTCTGCCGATCAGGCAACTCAGCTTGGATCGTCAAAGGCATTTAAAAGAAAAAAGGGGTTTTTTTTCTTTTAAATGCCTCTGATGAGCCAAGCTGAGTTGCCTAATCACAGAGGCTTTTTAAAAAACTCAGTTTGGATCGTCAGAGGCATTTAAAAGAAAAAAAGAGATTTTTTTCTTTTAAAAACCTTTGATGATCCCAGCTGAGCCGCACGATCATCAGAGGCTTTTTTTTTTACTTTTAAAAGCATTTTTTCTGCCGAAGAGGTTGTAGAAAAAATGCTTTTAAAAGTTTTTAAAAAGCCTGTGATGATTGTGCGGCTCAGCTGGGCATGGGAGGGGCGGGGGCAGGGATTTTTGCTACCGGTTCTCCAAACCACCCGCCTCCATCGCTACCGGATCAGGCGATCCGGTCCAAACCGGGAGCATTTCACCCCTGGTTTTGCCCCATGTTACAACCTTTCTTGCCACAGTAAAGTGAAACATTGCTCTCGTAAAGTCAGCGACCCAGTTGTTAAGTGAGTCTGGCTTTCCCATTGTCTTTGCTTGTCAAAAGGTCACAAAAGGTAATCACATGGACACTGTGACCATCATAAATACATGCCAGTTGCCAAGCATCCAAATTTTGATTGTGTGACCATAGGGATGCTGCAATGGTCTTAAGGGTGAAAAACATTTATAAGTCACTTTTTTCAGTACCGTTGTAACTTTGAATGGTCACTAAACAGATGGTTATAAGTCGATGACTATCTGTAATGACATCCTTGATGTTTTCAACATATGTGCATGTATACAAAAACAGGAGCAATTGTACTGTTTTTATAGATTTATAATTGGTACTGGCAATTTAGTCATTAAGTGAAGTGGTCTTTAACTGAAACCATGGTTGTGCTTATGATCTTACTTCAGTTTTCCTTTGCTTTAAAGACTGAGAAGGTTGTAAATGCGTGGACTGATTTCAATATTAATTTTTTTATCACTGTCAAAACTGCAAATAGTCACTGTACAAGACAGACAATAAATAAGGACTACCTGCATTCATAGACAAGGCAAGGCAATGCATACTAATGTTCTCTTACTAGCCCACTGAAGGTACAGGTATTCCTCATTTAATGACACAAATTGGGACTCACAACTCCATTGCTAAGCGAAGTAGTCCTTAAACAAGACATCACATGACTGCAACCTGTGACTACCTGCCACTTTCCTAATTGACTTTGCTTGTCGGAAGCCAGATAGGAAGATTGCAAACGGTGATCATATGCTACCACAAATGCTGGTGGTAGCCAAGCTCTCAAAATCACAACAGTAACCACTGGGAGACCGATGGTTGTTGGTGCAAGGACCAAGTCGTAAGTCATTTTTTTCAGCGCCATCATAACTTCAAACAGTCAGACGTAACTTGGAAGAGCTGAACAAACCGCTTCAGAAATCAACAATCCTCTCTTCTTGGAAAGAAAGTTGCTTGAAGCCTCACTTCAATACTTATTTGCATGTGTTAATGCTAATTTTTCATGCAAAAATGTTGATGTAGCATTATGCTGATTTTATAAAATTTTAGTCACTTAAAAATATATGTTCTAATTTGATGGGAGGAGGCAGTTTCCACATCAGAAAGTATTTTGTAATGCTGACATTGTGATGAGAGACTTTGGCAGTTGGTGGTATAGCAAAATAAATAAAAAACATTGCAGCACTTCAAAGCCATAAGCCCAAATGAACTCTTAATTTCCTTTTAAAAAAACTATAAAAGTAATTTCGGTGCCTATATTTCTCCATGTGCAGATATAGAAGGAATTCTCAGTATTCCTTGTGAGTTTAAGGATAAGTTAGACGAAAGTGTTTTATCTCATAAATCTTGGCGTGCTTGATAAACAGATCCCATGAAAAGGAGGAAGCCCAAATTGAGATTAAGAATTTGGCTGCACTATCAAACCAAACAGAAGGGACGAGTACTACCGGTACCTCTCAGGATTGGTGTTAGCATTACTTATCATGGAGTAGCAAGGTCTTTGAAGCAGTGGCACCAGCAGAAGGGTCCAAGAGGGCTCCGACTGAAGTCAGCAGCATCTTGACACATTGCAATACAAGTCACATCCCCAAGACATCCCCATTTACCTCATGGGGGGGCAGAGTTTGTGACCCAGTGCTGTTTTATCCTTCTGGCAAAAGCTGGAAGCAACTATGGACACTGCTATTTTGAATCCAGAGAAAGATGGGTGAAGTTAAAAATAAATTATGTCCTATGTATGCTGTAACGCCTAACAGTCACACACATTTACAAATGTGGGGAGGTGCACTTTACAGCAAAGTTTTGGCGGGAGTTCCTAAAGCTCCTTAAGGTTCAGTCTTGACAAGTACATCTTCTGTAGTTCCTATATAATAGTTTAAAGATGCCTAAAATTGTTGATAAAATTATGGGCTTAATACATTTTTTGCATCTGCAATGGCACAACCCCACCAGTGGTGGAATTCAATTTTTTTTACTACTGGTTCTGTGGGTGTGGCTTGGTGGGCATGACAGGGGAAGGATACTGCAAAATCCTCATTCCCTCCCCACTCCTGGGGGAAGGATATTGCAAAATCTCCATTCCCACCCCACTCTGGGGCCAGCCAGGGATGGTATTTGCCGGTTCTCCGAACTACTCAAAATTTCCACTACCGGTTCTCAAAAACCTGTCAGAACCTGCTGAATAACACTCCTGAACCCCACTCATAAAGCAGCAATTAAAACACTTGCATGATTTGGCAAAGGAGGCAAGTCAGTTATATTCATTGGCAAAAGATAAGTTAACTGAAACATCAGTATAAAACAGAACTAAAAAACACAAGTTTACCAATAAATTACTTCATGTTTTTACATCAAAACAAACGTTCTATATATTGTAATAACAAAAAGCAGAATACTTTTACATATATGAACATTACCGAAAGGAATGCTGTTTGCACAGCATTTTCAGATTTAGTTAACATCAGGACAAGATGAATCTGCTTCAGTTCACAGGAGTAATCTTGCTTTTTGTGTGTGAATGTGCACCCCAATAGATAAACAGATGGTATTTTGTATTATGTTGCCACTTTAGCTTCGTGCTTACTTTAGATAGAAATCACACATAAAGTTAATGAGATAAAAATCATTTATATTACAGCTACCATAATGCGTGTGAATTTCTCTTCCCAGACATCTTGATAATTATTCCCCAGGCCATTTGGAGGCAACAGATTATTTGCCGTAGCCTTAATAAATAATTTGTTGCATCCAAATGGGAAATAGTTTTCAAGCAGTGTTGTAGAGGAATCCGAAATTCTCTGGAAGCTTTATTGATTAGAAAACAGACACACTTCCCAAATTGCCAACCACTACACAACCTTTCCTGTGGCTTTCAACTACAAGAGATTGGATGACATAAAGGCATACACTGAGTTGTGTAGCATTATAATATATCCGATAAACCAGCATTTCTCATTCTTGGCAACTTGAAGATTATGTGGACTTCAACTTCCAGAAATCCTCAGCCAGTTGAAGCCCACATATCTCCAAGCTGCCAATGTTGAGAAACACTGCTATACACTATTTCATTTAGGGTTTGTGTGAATCGGGAATCGGGCACCTCAGAATATGAACCCAGAATCTTCTGCCATGTGCAAGATACTATAGCAAACCAACAAGAATTCCTTCACAGAAGAGGAAACGTGAAGATAGTTCACTGAAGACAGAAAGTTCAAAAATCCCCCCTATTTTATGTACAATATTTATGGAGGGTTTGATATGGGGGGGGGAATAATTATTTGGGATAATTACAGGCATGAGAACTCAAGGATCAGATTACAGTAAATTGAGTACTTTTACATACAGAACTCAGCAATATGCTACAATACGGGTTTTAACAAACATGTGTTTGCTTCACCTAAAATGAGATTGTGCCAGCTGATGGGTGAATTCAGTTGCAACTGAATTATCTTCTTAAATGTTAACTGTTTGTTCGAGTATACAGACTCCAGCTCATGTCATTTCAGTGGTAGTAGTTGCTGAAGGCATGCAAAATATACAGCAGTGTGGTGATGAAGGCAAACAACTGAAAAAGGGAGAAAAAATGGCAACATTATTATTTCCATTCCCAAAGCAAGTTAGTATATCAGACTAGGAATAATTCTAATTCAGTTTCAAATTTCGTTCCAAATGAGTCAAGAACTAACCTCACACCTGTTTCTCTTTCAGCTACCCAGCTTGCTGGGTTGTTGAAAGATAAAATGAAGGTGAAGAAAATCTGAGACAACACAATAGAAACCAGTTTTGTCACATAGCTTCTAACTTTCCAGGCTCCTGGCCTCCAAAGGTGTTAGCGTACAACTTCTATTTTTGTAATGGCATGTGAGCTGTAGTCCCTCCCTCCAAAAAAACCCCAGGTGTCAAAAGAGCAGGCCTTCCTAATGAACCATGAGCTTCTTTGTATACCTGTTTGGCTTGGGAAGCAGATTAAATTTACCATTAACCAAAAGGAACATGTGGGATGAACAAACCATCTTATACTGGGAATGCTTCTCTGATGCTCAGGGCTTTGTCCTCCCCAGCACTTAGGCTATTAGTTCTCTTGTTGAGTTAAACTCCTATAGTCTGATGGAGTAGTTTAACTTGCAAGTCCATTACACTGTTTACACTCAAACCCTCCTAATCTCTATCCTGGAATAATTATTTTGTTTATTAATTGGAGAATGTATAGAACATTTTACAAGTCTATATATTTTATCATCTCTTGCTGTGTATTTTCATGTAGCCTACAACCCTATGCCGGAGGAAAGGGAAGGCTTCTTCTATAGAAAAGTGCTCTTCATTATAAACCCAATACCATGCTTGACCCATAAAACAGGTCATGTGCTATGTGAAAGTTAATACTGATTTACAACAGGTCTTTGTGCATACTTGAGCCATTAAGAATTACATTTGGCCTTTAATGTGCAGGGCCTGTATTCCAAAAGGTAACAGCTGGAGCCAAAAGTAAATTTACAAAATTGTAATGTAGTTTAATTTAATTTACTCAAATTAGGTGGCATTTCATGCAGGGGGGGGTGTCACAGTATAATAAAAATGTTTTTAAAAATGGAAGGAAGGAAGGAAGGAAGGAAGGAAGGAAGGAAGGAAGGAAGGAAGGAGAAAGAGATGTACATATATTATAAAAATAATATCATTAAGTTTAACTTTTATGTCATTTCAACAAATTTCCATTGGTAATTTCATCAAGTTTCATCTTAATAGGAATACTTTGGGAGATTTACAAAAAAATTTGTACACATGGCAATCTTTAAGTCAATTTAAATGTCCCTGTTGTGGATTTGTGTGTTGTTTTCCAAAGAAAAACTACTTTTTACCCAGTATTGGGTAATTTATCCAGGTTCATTAACCAGCGATTTAATGCAAACAACAGTTCAGAACAAAGATTATCTAGCTTGTGACCTATGAATTGAGTTGTCCCAAAGATGCTTTTTTCAGGAGGCACCTGGACTTCCTTGTTTTTTCTTTGAAGACGTTTCACTTCTCATCCATTCAGTTTTACAAGATAGTGGGGAATGGAAGGATTCCACTATCCTGTCAGAGCTGAAGAAACTTCTTGGATGTGAAGCGAAACATCTTCAAAGAAAAAACAAGGAAGTCCAGTTGCCTCCTAAAAAAGGCACCTTTGGGACAACCATGACCTGGATGACTGAGAATCTCTACAGACTATGAGTTGAGTTGAGTCTGTTAAGAACTTCCTTACAGTGGCTGGACTTAAGACTTAGTACTTTCTTCATAAAAACAGCAAAGCATGTATTTAAGTGAAAGAGTATTATGATGGGAAACAGATGAAGTAGCTGAGTGGGTAAAGGAACACTTTTTGAAATGTTGAGCCTAGCAGGGGCTGCCCTGCTATTTTCATTCTGGTTCCAGCAATAAAATGTCACCAACAAGAACTGAAATGTGAGCTTTCAAACAGAACAGGTAGTTGCTCAGGTGATGTGAGGTTCTTACCGTGGCTGCAACATTGAGCTGATAATAGAGAGGGATAACGTCTGCTGGCACTTCCGTCTCTGAACGGATTGTTGCATTTGCCTGCAACACAGCAGCGCTCAGGTAAAAAATGCCTGTGGCTCCATGGTAAAGACTGTCCTAAAAGAAAAGAGACGTAGATATGGACAGGGTTAAAAAACAAGAAGGAAATGTGGAATCCTTCAGGATATGTTCATTATTATGCAGAATTGCATATGAAGTACAGACCAAAGTCATCCTAGTAAGCAGCCCATTCACAATCTGAGAGTATTTACCCACTTCAAAACTCTTTAAGCTACAGGAGTTGTTGCCACCTTACCAGAATTCTCCAGGATTCAAAGTTTTTATGGACACCAAACAAGTAACTCAGGAGGAGCAGAAAGGAGATGACAAAGGAGCTGACCGAGACGTACATGACCCATCCTTGCAGCAAAGGGAAATACACCGTGGTAGCTGCTACAAGGATCCAAACCCAGCAGCCAAAGATCTGTCAGGGTGAAAAATGTTGAAATATAAATGTTTATCATTAAACTTTTTTACATTTCGGATTGGTTTAGTCTCTGATTTATGCCTGTATTTATTTATTTGGTTGATTGGTTGATTTATACATTTCATTAAAATGTAATTCTGGAGCAGAAGGCTAAAGTACAAATAATACCACCATGTAAAATGATCTATCTTAAAACAGCACAGTAAACACACTGACAACAACATATCCATGCACAAATGTCCAACTGAAGCTTAATTGGACAAGTGTTTCATATATAATCTTAAAAGCTAGCAGGATGTTGCACCAATCATTGTTGAACCAGTAACACAGTTGGAAGGTACCTTGGAGGTCATCTAGTACAACCCCCTGCTCACACAGGAGACCTATTCTAGGGATTCGAACCACCGAACTGCTGAATTTTCTGATCGAGAAGCTCAATGTCTTAGCCACTGAGCTACCTAGTCAGGCTAACCATCTCAGGGTCTGAAAACTGCATGTATATGAAACCAGTTCCAGCTGAGCACCTATCTATATTCTCTTCCTTTTCCAGTATTATATTGGCTACATAAGGAATGATGCTCAGGAAGAATAAGTATTTATATTATTTAAATAATGAATTGTAAATATGTTTGCAATAGGCTGTTATGAAAATATGCAACATCAGCAAGGTTTTTTTCCCCCTAAGAAACTTCTAGTCCAAATTAAAAATAATTCCCTTGGATGAATAATACATGCATATACTGTGGTTAATATGAAGTCGACAAAGTGCAAAACCAGCAATAATTGTTCAAAGAGGGCACAAAAGAGAACCAGTCCTCATCTCTTTTTCTTTGAACAAACAAAACTTTTTTAAAAAAAGCTAAATCAAGAACAAGAGCAAAAACTTTTTTAAAAAAAAAGCTAAATCAAGAACAAAATAAAAACAAATGCATGAGAGAGGAAAAAAATAAACTAGAGAATGACCACAGTGTATTTCTATTACATGACTTCACATTGAATCCTAAGGAGAAATACTAATATTTTAAACAATGATGTTCAATATTTCCATCCTGAACAATATATACTGTAGTAGAAACTAAAGTAATCCATTGAGAAAACTGTTGTTAAAAAAGTAAAACCCGAAGAAACCACTTGGGGGAAACCTAAAGGTGCTTTTTCAAGAGGCAACTGGATGTTTTGGTTTTTCTTTGAAGATGTTTCCCCACCATCCAGTCAGAGCTGAAGAAGCTTCTTGGATGAGAAGCGAAACATCTTCAAAGAAAAACCAGAATGTCCAGTTGCCTGCTCAAAAAACCATTTTGGGACAACCATGACCTTGATGACTGAGAATCTCCATAGGCACTTGGGGGAAAGGGATTGTCCATTAAATCTGAATGTCTGTTAAATCCAATTTTAAATAAATGAATGTCACTAATTTATGTCACTTATGCCATTGAGCCATCATTTGCACAAGTGACATAAATGAATGCAAATTCCATTGAAAGATCAATTATGCAATGGTATTGCATATTAATAGTCCAGTCTGCTTTGGAAATGAAAATGTGAAATAAAACTGAAGTCTGAAGAAATGTGCAAAGTAAAATTTTGTCCATTACATCCAAATTTCCCTAAATGGAAGTCTGAGGAATTGAGACTTTCGCCCTGTAGCTAATATTTGGTGACCAAACTGGACTATATTTATTCTTCATTGCAAGGTTTTATCAGTGTTCTGTGCTGTGCTACGTTATCTGCCAAAGCAATTTCCAAAGAGGGTCAGTCTTATTATGGAAGTATCATGAAAAATCAGTAAATGACAAGTTGTGTACTTTACTATTGCTTTTGCTGCTGCTGCTGCTGCTGCCACCAGAGCATTCTGTAAATAGCAAGTGGAGGGAATTGGGTCATTTTTAATAGCTTGATCTTTTTTGTCTGTTATTTATTTATTTGTATCCCACCTTTATAATTTTTACAAATAACAGCAGCAAACATATCCAACACAACTTCCTTCTCCTATTTTCCCATAAAAAGAACCCTCCGAGGCGAGTTGGACTGAGAGATAGAGTGACTGACCCAGCTGGTTTTCATGGCTAAGGAAGGACTAGAATTCAGGGTCTCCCAGTTTTAGCCCAGTGATTTAATCAGTAGGCCTAACTGGCTCTTATACAATAAAAAGTAAGCAAAAAGTGGGATGCTTGAAAACAGAGTGGATGGCGTCCCATTGGTGCCCAAACACCTTTCACCTGTAAGGAGAACTGACGTGGGCTGGAATCTTCATTTCCTTGCAAATGGGGTACTTAAAAACGAAGCGGATGGCTTTTCACTTTTCCTGGTGAAAAGTGTTCCAGTGGTAGCAGAAAGGAGTTTGGGGAGGGGGGGAAGAGCAGGAGAAAGGCACCGCAAACACTTTTCACACCCAGAATGAAAGTGATCTCATGAGAGTTCAAGCACCCAGTCTCTGCAAAAGAGGATAGGTGCCTGAACTCGTGCGATATTACAGCACTCAGGAGCTTCCATCAACTCTTCCTCTCCCTCAAAGGCACAGAAACCACAGCACAGAGGAGACAGACCTTGTAAGGTAAGTTAGTCTGGCATGGCGGGAAGGGAGGGGGAAGCATGAGCTAACTTAGTGGGTTGGGGAGGCATTGGGGGCCTGTTCCATCACTAGCTCCCCCCCACCCATGGCCTTCCCCACCCTCATGTGCACTTAATGAACTGCACATTTAATTAGTGAATGCATGGGTGAAAAGCAGAGAGTGATTTCGTTTGAGGTATGAGATTCACTCCTACGAATCCTCACGGTACGAATGAAATGGGCAGGCTCCATTACATTCATTACTTCAAGACTACCTGTTCAAATTGACAAGGAATGGTATTTTGTAGTTGAAAAGAGTGGATCAATTTTTCTCATAGGTTTACGGGTTTATATTAAAGCTATGTACCAGGGCAGGTTGCAATCAATTAATGTAGATACATTTATTTATTTATTTATTTATTTATTTATTTATTTATTTATTTATTTATTGGTTCGATTTATATGCCGCCCTTTACCAGAGACTCAGGGTGGCTTACAATGCGTTAAGCAATAGCCTTCATACTTTTGTATATACCTGCTTAGTAGGGCTTTTGTTCCCCCCCAAGCGGTGTTCCTTTTTTATACAAAGTCAGCTTATTGCTCCCACAAACTGGGTCCTCATTTTACCTACCTCGAAAGGATGGAAGGCTGAGTCAACCTTGAGCCTGGTGAGATTTGAACTTGCAGTAATTGCAGACACCTGGTGTTACTTAACAGTGCTTTAGTCTGCTGCGCCATCAAGGCTCTTGGATTTACTCATCCAAGGTCAACCACTCCCTTTCACATTCAGGTTCAGGAATTCAACTCTCTGATCTCTTAATATTGTTTATCTTATCTTGACACTGGAATGTGGAAACCAGACCTTGCAAGGCTGTACACTAATTTAACAGCATTGGCTGAATACAGAATATATGATTAGAACATGAAGCTGGCAGTTACAACTCCAATCGCATTTGTTCTTTGTGAATTCGGTAGAAGGTTAGCTTCATGACTAATGATCAAAATGTTTGGTTTGATCTCCTTGATTATGAACAGCAGGACAAATTATGAAAAAAAGCTGTATGTCACAAATGTATAAAAATTTGCTTAAAATTGTAATATATTTTTAAAAGTTTATTTATTTATTTTATATAAATAAATAAATAATATTTATTTTTTTCTAAAAATGGTAAGGCATTACAAATCTTTTATTTAAAAAACAATGTGTATAATGATAAATATTTAAAATGACTTATTCCATAGAGAGTAAAGCAGCCTTGCAAGTATATAAATAATTGTGCTAAACAAAGGGTGGTCTTAGCACTTTAAACAACAAAATTCCTCATCCTCATCATCGCCATCTGTCGCCATATTCTGAGCAGCAGGACAATAGTACATTTTAGTTCAGTTTTGTGCATATTTATTATATTCAGTGAGGTTTCTCCTTTTAGAATTGCGATCTAAATAATCAACGTATTTCTTTAAAAATATAATATAATTATATTAGGCCCGACATATATTCGAATTCCGGTCTCACAAACAGCCTGCTTAACCCTTATCCATTTTTCACTCATCATGATTGTGATTGTCCTCAGAGGGAAGGGTTGACAAATGACATCATATGCATCATTACATCAGTGCAAATGATGCTATGACATCATTGTGGCTTGTGCTAGACCTGTGGCTGACTTAAAATTGCAATCCTATCTTTCCAGACAACAGTTGCATGTATACTTGCCTTTGTGTGCAAGCTCTATGTATACATGCATAAAGTTGTGCTGCGGATGCACCTACCTATAGTTCCCTGCTAAGCACACATGTTTCTAAGCTCTCATGCATAGGATCGTGTTACATAGACACCTATACCACAAACCTAGCCAGATTAGTATTATAGTTATTTTGGTGGATGTTACCCATGAGTGATATTGATTGCCTATATTCCCTTTTTGTCATCAATAAGCCATCTCAACAAATCCACATTAAAATAACAACTAACAGTAGTCCAGTCCCGCCTGGACTACTGCAATGCTCTCTACATGGGGCTCCCCTTGAGGAGCACCTGGAGGCTCCAGCTGGTCCAGAATGCGGCCGCGCAGGTGGTTATGGGAGCAACGTGGCGCTCCCATGTGACTCCCCTCCTGCGCTAGCTGCACTGGCTCCCGGTGGTCTTCCAGGTGCGCTTCAAGGTTTTGGTTACCATCTTTAGAGCGCTCCATGGCTTAGGGCCAGGGTACCTACGAGACCGCCTTCTGCCACCAGTAGCCTCTCACCGACCAGTACGCTCCCATAGAGAGGGTCTTCTCAGGGTGCCGTCGGTCAAACAATGTCGACTGGCGGCCCCCAGGGGGAGAGTCTTCTCTGTGGGGGCACCTGCCATCTGGAAGGAGCTCCCCCCAGAGATACGGAGGATCCCGGATTTGCGCACTTTCCGCCGTGCCCTCAAAACATTTTTATTCCAGCAGGCTGTCTGGCCTAACCTCCCTTTTAATTGCTTTTAAATTTGTTTTATAAATTGGGGTGTTTTGGACCAAAGTATTTAATGTATTTTTAAATGGTTTTTAACGTTTGTACTATGTGTATTTTATCTTTTGGCTGTTCACCGCCCTGAGTCCTTCGGGAGTAGGGCGGTATATAAATTTAATTAATAATAATAATAATAATAATAATAATAATAATAATAATAATAACAACAACAACAACAACAACAACAACAACAACAGACTTCCGGTTGACGTCACGGCAATATCAGACACAAAGGAACGGGTCTCCACATTCCCTGTGCTGAGTGCTTCCTATTTGTTGTCTCCCTAATACTAGACCCTAATAAAACAGATTCCTGGTGTTGATAATGTCCCAAATCCTGTCACTGGCTTCTGTAGGTATAGCAAGAAGAAAAAAACCCTTGCTCAAAATCTTGAAGAAGTTAGTGTAAGCAAAATTTTGTCTTGAATAGGAGCAGTGATTTGATATCCGTTTCTGATCTGTTTTGCACAAAACGTCAACTTAGAATCAAACAGAGATCTTTAAATGGGACTTCCTGAAATATTATATGTACAAAACTAGTCATTATTCAGAGAAAAGATTATGAATCAGACAAAGAAAAACACCTGTGATTACATTTGGAGGCTATGAACAGATTGTTCACTTTAAGGGTCATTAATGGCTCTGCAATTCTCTTTGGCTGTCAGGTTCTTGCATACCTTTTTCAGCATACTTTGTAAAGGTGTTTCCAGAAGTACCCACCACTCCCACTTCATTTCCAAGAAAGAAAGAAAAACAAAAACTCCATCTGAAGATGTTGAACTCTTTTGATTACCCACCAACAGGCACACACCCACTGAATGCCAGTGAGCAAGGATTACTGTCAAGAAAGTTAACGCTCCCCCTTGCTGAGAAATTATCAAACAGGTTCTTCAAGATGGAGAGTGTAGGAATATGCATTGAAAATTAAAAGCATTCAAAATGAAACTTCCACATATTATTTTAAAAGCCATAATGTTATCTATCTACAGTATGTTGTCTTGTTGTTTGTAAACTGCAGGTTCTTTGCATAGGAAGTACAGTTGCAACTATATTATAATTGTGGTTTCTATAAATTCTCAAAAAAAATATATTAGCTAGTGCAATATTCACACACACAAAGACCATATTGTACAAAACTATATTCTAAACTGAAGCAGCCAGGTGCCAGGTTCAAGACGATGCTTAGCTATAGTATTACCAGTCATTTTTCTAAAGCCAATTTTACTTTCCAGAGTTGTTATAGTAAATCAGGGTATGTAGCTTTGAGCTCCTAGAAGAAAGGTAGGATAAAAAGTCAATTAAGAGAACAATCTGCCTTCATTGAGCTGCAGATAGTTTTGAGTGCAGAATATTGCTGCTCTAGTGACATTGTCTAAGTTGCTTCTGGCCATAGACACAGAAAAGTAAAGAAACATTTGGGATCCAGATGTGCTTGAATATTTTAAGGGACAGGAAGAATTTTTTTTAAAAAAGGAATTGGGGTAAAGAAAATCAAAAGGCATGTTCCTGTATTTCATCTTAACTTTGATTCCCACATAAGCAGCCATATTCCAGTTTATATTTCGTTTTTGTCACGATATCCTTCATAAATAGCCTTCCTTGCCTTAACACTCAAAGAAATAAATATTTTAAAATATATGTATCATGAAGAATTATGCAATTTAAATCAACCTCTTCCCAGAGGCTTGTCATTTGTAGCAATTCACCAGACTTTCATGTTGCTCTCTCATGCAAACTGTCAATTGTGTCACTTGTGAAAATGATGGTGGAAAACAGAAACCCTCTTCCACTGAGCTGCCCATGTTTTATGCCTGAGGGCAATCACTGTTATTACAGTCATTGGGTTCTCCTGTGCCATCATGGATGTGAAGATGCATTGCCCACATTGAGGAATGGTTTCCAGAGCAATATTGCAAAGAAGGCATTAACTAACATGCTATTGTTTTCTTGCTTGCTTCAGTTTTTATTATAAGCCCTCAGTCCCACTAAATAGACCAGACAAAAACATCAACTCCACAAGAAGGCTAAAACTGCTTTTATTAAGATTCACCATAATAACAGAATCTTCAAGTCTGGTTTTGGTGTACCCTCCTGACTTTTATATTTCAGTGAATTAGGGAGGTATCTGTGCTGCTTCCAAATGTTATCTGGGTAGCTTGGATTTAAAATATATTTTAACACTGGTTGCCTTGGCAACCGAGATTGCATCAAAGTAATCTTCCTTACTATTTACACAATCTTTGCTGAAGTTTTCATATAAATAAAAAATACACAAGCACTACATGCATGCACACACACACACCAGTAGTGGGTTGCTCACAGTTTGTAAAACTGTAAAACTGGTGGGAGGCTCAGCCCACCCGCCATGTCATTTTGGGTGATCTGCGCATGGGCAGAAGCGCGTGCAAGCAAAGCAAGAGCGAACGCGCGCTCCCGCTGCGAACCGGTAATAAAGGTAAGTGGAACCCACCCCTGACATACACATACACACAATTCCAGTTGAGTTAAAATCCCTGCCTCATACAATGAGAATGCAATTAACGTAAGGAACATAGTCACTCTGCCATGTTTTACAGCTCTTAAATTATAACTTCCTGAAAGTTCTCCAAGTGAAGCAAAATACAAAATGCAATGCCGCTACTTCCCAGTGAATTTCATTATCACACTGTGTAATGGGGACCAGTTACTTTGATTTTCTATTTTTAAAAAATAGAACAAATTCCTGAAAGCCAAGTTCCACAGATGGATGTAACCATAGGGAATCTCCAAGACTGTCAATACTCAGCATTTAACAATCTGAATTCAACTGCATTTAAATAAGGACATTCTATTAGGGTTTGTACCCGCACTGGATTTTTGAAATCCAAGATACCTGCTGAATCCTCAAGAGATAACAGTTCTGCATCTTTATTACCCAAACCTTGACAAGACTGACATAGCATAATTATTTTTTGTGGCTCAAATTTCTACTAGGAGTAGAAATGGGTGAAAGGGCAGAAGGTCCTGCTCCTCTCTCTTTCTCTTTTCTTCTCCCCTACAAACAGCCCTGTACAAAGTCTGGAGAATCCTGTTTAATGAACTAGACCAGGGGTCTCCAAGCTTGGCAACTTTAAGCCTGGTGGACTTCAACTCCCAGAATTTGCTGGCTTTGCTGGCTGGGAAATTCTGGGAGTTGAAGTCCGCCAGGCTTAAAGTTGCCAAGATTGGAGACCCCTGAACTAGACTGAAAGTGGCAATGCTTCCATCTCTCTTCTTTAGACATGTTATTATTTTGGGTTTTTTTAACAAACTCAAATTCATTAATAAATTAAGGAATGTTCTAAATTGCTGCATGAACCTTCCTGCTGTTATCCCTGAATTAATCAGCTCTGCCCTTTCTCCCCTATGAAGCACTTTTAGTGGAATCAATCTTTATCCAAGAAATCACATGCCTACCTATAACTAGCCTGTAAATCAATGCTCTTTGGATTATTGTCTCCACAATTCACTGTTTGAAAAATATTGACCCATATCTTCAGAAAGCAAGTCCTGTATGAGCACAGCATCTTACCCAACTTCACAGCAGTCAACCTGAATAATCTGAAAGTAATTAGGGAGGGTGGAGGAAAAAATCCACAAGCCGTGTAAACCAGTTTGAATACAGTAATGCAATATTAATATCTCCAAGCTAATCATTCCTTTGCTGAAATGGTTTCTAGCTAGACTTTTCTGAAAATTAGGAACAAAGAGTGACATATGATCAGCTTATGTCTGTTATGGTATTATATACTAGTACTAGTTATGGTATTATATACTTTACATATATGAATATATAAAGAATATATAAAGAAATTGATAAATATATATAAAGAAGTCTATAAATTTATACTTATGTCTTTATCTCTATAAGTCCTCACACTTATGACAATCACTGCATCTCTATAGCCATGCGATTAAAATTTGGGTGCTTGGCAACCAACATGCATTTATGGTAGCTGCAGCATCCTGGGGTCTTATGATCACCATTTATGACATTCCCAATTAGCTTCCAACAAGCAAAATTAATGGAGAAAGTTTGATTCATTTATCAGCTGCATGATTCACTTAACAACCATGGCCAAAAGATCAGAAAATCAGGTGCAAGTTACTTAATACACGTCTTGCTTAGCAACAGAAATTATGGTCTCCATTGTGGTTTTAAATCAAGGACTACCTTTTCCTTTAGATTAACACAGCTCGCTTCTAACAAAGGTACAACTTTATGCTGTATGCTAACTGTGGATAGATGCTTCAACTCCTTAGATAATTAAAGTGCACATGGGAAGCAGATATATGGCATGTGCTTGAATGCACAACTGAACAAAATATGCAATTCTTGATTCATAAAATGAAGTATGGAAAGTTTACCAATCTTCAAATAAACCTTTCATTAACTATGAGCATAATTAGCATAAAAACATATGCATAAATCTACATATATCATACAAGTAACTAGTACCAGGAGTCATCAATATGACTTTGTGTACTATTTGTATTCCTATAGTGACACCACATAGCGTGCAAAATTTCTCAATGTTAAATTGGAGATAGGAATTTTTAAAAATACAATAAAATTAAGTTAGTTGACTTACCAGCTCTGGCAAGATTAAGGCATATGGTATCGTTTTAAAAATGGCCAGTCCAGAAGGAATATCTTCAAGTGCTGGGCAGCCAGGCGCCGGTCCTGAAGTTTTGGAATCCATTTCTATTGTCTCTGTGTAGCTGTTGTTACGATCTGCTATCCACAATTACTTCTGCAGCAGAACTGTTGGCATGTGAAGCTTAAAATAGTATCCAGTGGCACACCCATATGGACGTCAAAGGTGAAATCAGTTCCAGCCTGGCAGGTAGCTCTAGTCATCGTGGAAGAATTTCATACACCACCAAGACTAAGGCAGCTCATCCATAAGAGATCAGAGGTCAAATATCCTGGTGGATATATTTGTATGTGATTAAATATCCTTTGGTATCGGAAGGAGATGAACCTACAAATTCTGACTCTTTCTAAAAGGGTTCTTTTTGAGGCTCAAGTTTTCTTTTGGTTCCATTCCTAAGCATTGCAACTGGCAAGTTTCTTGCTATCTATCTGCATTCTGAATCAACAAGTCTGCCTCTAAGAATAATAATGCAAGAAATCTGACATATCCTCTAGTCCGGAGTCTCTCAATCTTGGCACCTTTAAGATTCAATTCAAGACATCAATTCCCAGGGTTCCCCAACCAGCAGTTTCCAAGGTTGAAAAACATTGTTCTAGCTAGTCCAATGGAAGAATTTGGTAAGTCATCCCCCAAAAATGGACTTTTCAGCTGAGCCTATTTTAAAATCTCCAATAGAACAAGTTGTGTTTTTAATTTTAGGAAGTTACTCCTAATATTGAGCTCAATTTTTTCTTGATTTCCCCCTACTTGTGTCCCGCTGCTTCAAAAGAGAAGAACTTTTTTGTTTTCCCTTACACTTATTTAGTTTTGCACCAGTAGTGGGTTTCACTTACTTTCACTACCAGTTTGGAATCAGGAGCACACGAGTGCGCTCACTTCATTCGTGCGCAGCACCTCTGTGCATGTACAGAAGCTTCTGCACATGCGCAGAGCTTCCATGATGATGTCTGGAAGGGTGAGCAGAGCCTCATGCCATCGCCACTACCAGTTCCCCCAACCCGGGGCGAACTGGTAGAAACCCACCACTGTTTTGCACCCTAAATATCCTCAGCTCATAGAAGATGCTTGCAGGTCCTCATCTTATCCTACAGCTCTTCTCTCTGACTCCCTCTAACATCTCCACATCTCTTTTGAAATACAGTACGGAGAGCTATACACAGCATACAAGTGCAATCTAGCCAGTGCTGAATAAAATCGAGCTATTGCTTTCTTACCTGTATTCTTGTCTTCCTCTCTTAAACCTCTGAATTAGTTGGGCTATGTGACCACTCCTACAGCAGAAAGGATTAAAAATCAAGGTGTTTTTTTTTTAACTGCTTATTTTGGAAGGTTTTGCTGCTTAAGAACTACTTACAAGTACTGCTAGAAGCCAACAGGGAGGGGTAGCAATAGAGAACAGCAATAGAGAACAGGCAGAAAAAGGAAGAATCTAAAACCTGCTGTGGAATTGATGCCTGTTTTGTTGTTTTGTTCAGAAATTAATACATGGGGTATGTTCTTGAGGAACAATCATATGGCTTCAGGAACTGATTGTCAGCACTAGCTTTGAATACATGTATTCACTGTTCTAAAGAATGCAACCTGTCTTTGGCACTTACATGGCCTTTCTTTTTAATGAGGAGCAGGAAGTAACAGGGAAATTAATTTGTACTGCATTTGAGCATCTTTCTCCAATCCTTCAACTAATGCAAAGTAAGAAGATGCAACCAAGTGGGCACAGGAATGCATTGTATAAGAACCATGAAACATACAATTTCACTTGTACAATCTTTCCCAAAGGGAAACTGAACTGAACTGGTTACTGAACCATAGTACAGTATTTTGGTAATAGAGACTTGGTTGTTTTCCCCCCTAGTTACTGTCCTCACATTGCTGATCAAAAGCGTGTTTTTAACTCTAGTGCAAATGAAATTGAACCTCATGCCAAGAAGTGAAACAGTTTATGTTATTTTGTTTCAGCACATTCTTTCATGTTTCTGAGCATTTTCTCCTTGGGATAGTTCATAGTGAAAGCCTAGTAACTACATACTAAACAAGGATTGCTATGAGGTTTGGTTTATTGGCTGGAGCACATTAGTTCAGGTACCATTCTTCTATATTTTTGAGAATAGTATAAACATTTGAAATAAAATGAGATGTGCTTCATTTTTACTCATCAGATGTAAACATTCTATAAATCTACTTTTTTTTTTTTTTTTTTTGCTTTAATTTATATGCCGCCCTTCTCCGGAGACTCAGGGCGGCTTACAATGCATTAAGCAATAGCCTTCATACTTTTATATATTTATACAAAGTCATCTTATTGCCCCCACAATCTGGGTCCTCATTTCACCTACCTTTGAAAGGATGGAAGGCTGAGTCAACCTTGAGCCTGGTGAGATTTGAACTTGCAGTAATTGCAAGCAGCAGATGTTAATAACAGTGCTTTAGTCCACTGTACTACAGGCTCTTTGTACTACTTTGTTGTAACTGTTTACAAGCCTCTGAATTTCCGTATACAAAGATACACCCAGAATGGATGTTTTGCATTAGCACATTAGAAATTATGCTTCTCTTCAATAAATATATACAGACACACCCATACAGAGAAAAAATATGTTCATTTTCTACATGTTCCTGGTCTGAGAGGAAGACATATACACAGTAAAGTGCTTAGCCTAAAGTATGTTTGATTATACACATATTTTAACTTTGTAGTTTGAGGCAAGGAATGTAAGCCTATTAATTTAACAGCAACCTATTTTCTAACTATTTTAAGCGCAGCACCAACATGTTTGGTTGAACTGATTCCATTGTCTTGCTGTTAATTGATTGGGAACACATCCAAAAATATGAGTACTTCTAGCTAGCCTTGTTGAACCAGTTTCTTCTCTACAGCTATATTTCTGCTTCGAGATCATAATGCAAATTAAGAAAGGCAATTATCATTTAATTTTGTGAGATCTGTACCTGGAGTTCAGGGCAAAATCCAAGGGTGAGTTTCTGAAAGAAGTAGTTTATATAGGTAGATAATGAAAATGAAGCCATTTCCCCTCTCTCCTTCAAACCAAGGGTCCCCAACCCCTGGGCCACGGCCCACTACCAGGCAGCATCCTATTCAGAACTGGACTCCACAAGTGGCAGACACTTACACTTGCAGCATCACTTGCATAAATGGAGCTGGGCATGCTCACGCCTGCCCCTGCACAGTTCCATTCCTCTCTTCCACCATCCCACCCCCTGCCCGGCTGCCCAGCCAGAAAGATTGGGGACTGCTGCTCTAAACCTTCAAGATGTGCTTCAAGATGTATTCCATTGGGTCTTTCAAATTCTGACACAGCTTTCAAAAATGCTTGCAAGCCTTCAAGCAAAAACAAGAAGAAAGCCCTATGCACACTGAACTTCCATTTGTGAAAAGTTGAATTCCACACCATGTGGGAGACTTTGTGAGGTGGCCCACACTGCAAACTAGTCTCATTCCATTCTCAAAAGGCTACACCAGTATCTTTGCTTATCATTCTGGAGAATATTGCCTGGCAACAATAAAAAAACAAAAGATGTTGATAAGCCCCACTGAAGTACTAACTTAGCAACATAAATCTCAATCAAGTCTACTTCCATCCTACCAAGCAAAAAGCAATGGGAATATAGGTAGTTCTCATTTACCAGCCACAATTGGGATGGCAAATTGGTCATTAAACAAAGCAGCCACTATATGATCTTACTTCAGTTTTCCTTTGCTTTACATATATATGAAGGTCAAAAATACAAGAATTGGCCACAAAGTTACTTTTTCATTACTACTGTAATGGTCACTATATGAGGCAGTCGTTAAGTTAGAACTTTCTGTGTAAATTGTGGAACTGTAGATCCCAAAGATACAAATCCCAAGAGAACTTTCGGTCACATGTTGGCAAAAATGGAACAAATTACCTTTGGCTCATTATTCAGGATATCAGCACAATATGGATCTGACAGCTTTGAATCTGGCATGCATACCTAAATAATTCAAACTTTAGGATAAACTGACATTTCTTTTACAATAGAGACATTCCTACCTATTCTTAACATTCCACAACAGTGATATTAATAAATGCCACACTCTTGCATTTTTCAGACTTTGCCAGTGATTAAGCATAATGTTCAATTAAATCCATTTACTAATCATCATAAACATTTATGTTATAGACATGTTCAGTTCATATATGTTCAAAGCAATGTCTGTTCAATTCAGTTCTGATATTTATTTCAATTATCAGATATCAGATTCAATTTTGATATTTATTTAAAGTGATTCTTAAGATTTACTATAATTTCTGACATTACTCATTTGTCTCACATTCAATGTTAGTTAGTTGTTTAGATACCAACATTCATCAAATGAAATTTGCTTAATGTAAAGAAATAAAAAGGAAACAGGAAAATGACTCCATGAAAAAAGATAAAAACACGATTAATCTTTAGGATGCATTTACTTTCGTCATAAATATACAAATCAATAACCAACATGATAGTTATTTTTTTAAAAAAAGTTTATCAATACATTGCATTTATGAATTTGGTATAAAAGTTTTAATCAAATGATAAAAATACAACATTTTGGAACACATTATCAGTTCTATTTAATTAGTTTGTGTTGGCTTGGCAATTGGTAGATGAATAGCCACAAATGTCTTTCATATTAGAGGACTATTTTTTCTAGCCTCTCCTAAAAAGTCATATGCAGTTTCCATGACATCGAAAGCTTTGTGAGGGCTTTCCAACGATAGTAGAGAAGATAGACTGCCCCCTCTTTCTCGGTTTTTCTTCAGGAATTCAGCTATTATTCGCCAGCGAGTGCCTTCAGATTCTTCTTCTGCCCACTTGTATTCTGGGAGTGACACAGACTGAAGAAGTGGATAGACGGTGTCATGGTACACCAGGATAAACACTGATTTCAGAAATTCACCGTCTCTCTAATTAGGAGGAAGAGGAAGCAGAATATTTAAAATGTACTGTTCCCCAATGGCACCCTAAAACTTTATCTTTTTTGCATTAAAATCATCATTCTTTATCTGATGATACTACATTAGAAATTACCCATTTTTATATTATATATTACATAAATGTTTGAAAACTCAATGAAAAACAAGCCTTGTACTTTTTTCAAGTTTACACCTATAAAAACTGGCTAGTGCTGACAAATGACAAAGGAAAGATAAATTATCCTTAATGACCCAGTTTTTGAAATGTGAATAGGAATGAATTAATTTACTAAATGTAGTAAATTAAATTACAATAAGACAAGAATAACCTTTTTCTCCTCCTTCATTTTTACTGACATTACAACAACTTCAACTATTCAACTCACTTCAACCATTCAACTCACCAAGATAATAGAATATTGTGAATTAAACTAATTACACAAAAGCACACATAGAAATTATTTGATGTTGATATTGTTCTTATAATTGTTCAGCATAGAAACACTTTAACATTGCTGATGTTATAAACAATATGTTCTGTGTCAGGTTATTGGATCAATAAATACTAAATATTAAATTTACTTGGAACATTATACTTAGAATTGGTAC